GCGCCCAGGGAGCAGGGCTGGAGGCGAGGCGCTGCAGCTTTCGTCCTGCGCCGCACCCTGCGCTTCGGCCCGCTCCGTTCCCTCCGCGCGCATCCTTTCCCCTCCCCGAGGCGCGCCGCAGCTCCCGCCTCTGTCCCCTGCAGCGCAGGGCGCGTGCGCGGGAAGCCCCGCGGTTCGAGCAACCAGTTAGCGCTGCGTTCTGGCGTTGGAGCGCGCTGAGGTGTGGGTTGGCTCCGGCTGGCGCGAGAAGCGCCATCTCGGCCGGGCCGCCCCAGAAGCCGAAGGCACTTGGCGTCCTTGCCGCGCTCAGCCCTGACGGCGGAGGGCGCAGCCAGCTTCCCCTCCTTGAAGTCCCATTCTTGGGCTTCGCTCGTGACCGCCGCGGCAGTGACGTCAGCGGACTCGCGAGCGCCGTCCGCCCGGCGACGTCACTGCCCGGACCTTGGTGGGGCAGTCGCCAGGGCTCCGCGGGCAGGTGCGGCCCGCAGCCGTCCGGGCTGGCGGGGCGGAGAGGGCAGCGGGGAACCCGAGAGTGAGGAGGGGGCCTCTGGATGTTGGAGAAAGAAACGAGATTAGAGAAGAAAGCAGGATCATGCAAGGAGAGCAATGAGAAAGGATGGTGTTTAGAAGACAAAGGGGGAAAAAGCAGCGTTCCCCTCCTAACAAGTGTTTTTTGTTTCTAGCTTTCGGTTTTTAGGAAGTGGAAAAGGTGAAGAGCTTCTAGACTGTTTGGTAAGCTAGAGATGTAATTAGCGTGTTCGTTTTGACGCATTTCTCCTCAAACGGTCAGTTTTTCTGCAGGAGTTGACGTTTCCTAACGCTTTTCCGCCTTGGAGACCTCAACCTAAACAGACTCCTACTGGCAGAGACTGATTTGGCTCAGTTTGCAAAGTACTCAGTCTTGCACGTATTTGGGATGATTGGCACCGGCCAGTCTTGCACGTATTTGGGATGATTGGCACCGGCAGGGTAGTAGACCTTTCATATTGCATAACCTTTGACTGATTATGGCACCAGGTACCAAGTGCACATGATTCGATAAAAGAGAGATCTGAGAGATCTTTTATCGTCTTCTCGTGGCCTCTCTTTGTAGTATGTAAGCCATACCTCCTCTCTGTTTGCCTACTTGTTTACCTTCACCATTAAAAGTTATATAACCCCCATACGTGGTATCAACTCTTGTCTTCACTAGATGGTGAAGCTCTCAGTGGGATAACCGAGGCAACTATCTTTGAAACTATAATTACTGCCATAATATCTGGTATATCTATTGAGCATCTACTGTGTGCTTGGGATTATGCTAACATGTTCTGGTTATCATTTTTAATTTGCACAATTTGTAAGGCCGTTATTAGTATCTAAATTGAGAATAGGCCCATTGTAACAAATTTGCCCCACACCTTACACAGTTAAGTGGCAGGAACTAGCATCAAATTTGAGTTCTGCGTATATCTAACTACCAAGAAGATGGTGTTAATGTAATATTAGTGTATATAAAGTAAAATAACCATATAACCACATGTAGTAGCATCTAAGAGACTCACTTTGGTGAAATCATCTAATAAAACACAGAGCACCAAGTGGGAACCAAACTGTGCATCTTCTGTCAGAAGAGTAGGTTATTCTGCATTTGGTGTGAGCCAAGAACCATGATAGAAATTCTAGACACAACGTTTACCTTTGCTCAGCACAATGGCCACGTGTGTCGGATAATTTTTATCCCTATTCTATGGATGAGGAATGAGCTTCCAAGAGCATAAATTATTTTCCACAATGAATTGATGTGTGTGATTTCAAAGCCGTGTATGTCCCACTATACTATGTAGTATCTCAAGAACAAAATGTCATGTTTCAGTGTTCTTCATTGTGCTGGAAAGTGTGTTAGTTAGAGCTCACCAGATAACCTATAACATAAGATACATCTCATATACGTTATATGTGATATTACAGAGAGAGAGAGCGAGAGAGATTTAAGGAACTGTATTATAGTTGTGGACCTTGGCAAGTCTGAAATCTGTAGGGCTAGAAATTTATTGATGTTACAGTTTTGAGTCTGAAACCTGCAGGGCAGACCAACAGACCAAAAACTCCGATAAGGTTTTTGTGTTGAAGTCATGGCCAAATCGCTGCTTCTTCACGAAGTCTGTCTTTGCTCTTAAGGCCTTCAACTGATTGGATGGAACCAGCCCACTTTAATAAGGGTAATCTGCTTGCAGTCAACAGGTTATAAATGTCATTTGTGTCCACAAAATACCTTTATAGCTACATCTAAAGGGTTTCACTGAACAACTGAACAGTATAGCCTAGTGGGCTTTTACATAAAATTGATCATCACAGAGAGCAAACTCTAAATAGTGGAACAAATTCATTACCTAAAGCTATAAAAACAATGCCTAAGAATTTAAGACACAAGATATATATAAAGGAAACCTACACAGGAGAAGTACAGAAATAGACTTGAGATGTTTAGAAAAAAATGATTAAGAAATTTTTGAATAGGAAGACAATCTACTAAAAAAAAAATCACAAATTAATCTACACTTTTATATATTTTTTGGTACTGGAAATTGAACTCAGGACCTTGCACTTGCCAGGCAGGCACTATGCTACTGAGCTAAATCCCCAGACCAGTCTCCATTTTTAACATCACCTGTACACAAACATTTTTTAACTAGATAGGCTGATTCTATGATCATATGGGAAAAAGGATATAAAGTTTTAAAGTTAGCCAGGAAGATTATGAACAATAACAAAAATCCAAAATGAATATCTGTTAGGGTTGGTTCAGAGAGTCAAAATTGCTAAAAGTGGTATAGAATAAAGGATTTATTACAGGGATTTGTTAGTTATTAAAATACTATAAGGGAGGTATGGTTACGGAATCACACAGCAAACCTACAAAATCAGGACTATGAAGGGGAATTCATATGTGTAAGAAAGACTGCTGCCTTAGTGTCTGTTAGTGGGTGTGAAGACAGGTGTAAGTCAGCACTGCAGGCAGATGGGAAGGAAAGCTGGGTGCACAGTGAGATAAAGCTTGAACAAATTAGAAGCTATGAAGAGAAACTGGCACCCTTGTCTCGCTCCATCTATCCTAAATGACACATAATGTGCAGAAAAATTTTGAGAAGAAAATAACATAAGAAAACTGAGGGAAAAAGCCTGATAACTGTTTTCCAGGTGTTGACAGCCAAGTTCATGCCTAGAATAATAGAGATCTACACCAAAACATAGTGACATCTCAGAATAATGGGTACAAAATTAAAATTTAAAATCTTGCAGGGAGTAAAAATAAAAGCAGGTCACATACAAAGGATGGCATGGCAAAAGCCATCTCAGCAACAAATTAGAAGCTAGACAACAATGAAATAAAGCCTTCAAAATTCCAAACAACTGATTTTCTGGCTAGGAATCTGTGTACCTGGCCATACTATCAATGTAGTGAGAGAGCAACAAAGATATCTTTCAGACCTTGAAGAAGTCAAGCATTTACCTACCGTTGCACTTTTTCTCGGAAAGACATTAGAAGTTTGTAGTATAAAAAGAAACGAGGAGGATACCAGGGAGAGAGAAATACTAGAATGGAGCAAACAGAAACTTCAAGGCAGGAGAGAAAGAAAAGAAGTCCCCAGAATGATAGTTCCTAGGTCATAGCTACTGAGAAAACCTAGAAAACAGCAGTATTATGTGTGAGCAGGGGAGGAGGGGAATGTGAGAAGAAATAAAACAATACATGACCTTACACGGTCAAACAGTGAGAGAAATTCTGGCAAAAAAATTTGAGAATAAACTGACTATTCCTATACAGAAGATTATGAAGAAATTCAGTTATTGATACTGAGAAAAAGTTGTAAAAGAACTTTAACCATCATACATTATATGACCATTCTGTAAATAATAGTTACATATTCATAATAATATCACTTTAACATGTGCTATAGCTGTATTGGGAGACTGGTGTGTGTGTTAGGAAGGTAGTATTAGCTAAATTTCTAACTCCACAATAGACTATTAGTTGATAATATAAAAAACTAGATATGATTTAATAATGTGATCTAAATACTTATATGAAACAACTAGAAGAAGTGAAGCAACACTTTTGGCTCAGCAGAGAAAATATTGGTATAGGAATGTGACATGAGGCTGTTAGATTTATTGTAACATAGTAAAACTGTTGAAGTCTGAATGCTGTTTTATTTTCAAAACATGCAAATAAAAACAGTGTGTTGCCTTGTGTCTCTCAAAGGGTACAATATATTGAAATCCTAGCTTGGGGTACTTAGGATCTCGTTTGGAAATAAGGTCTTTACAGATGTAGTCAAGTTAAGATTAGATCATGTAGGATTAAGTTGGGCTGTCTTTCCCATGATAGATATTCTTATAAGAAAAGGGAAGTTTGGAGGCATACATACACAAAGGAAATAAGGCCATGTGGAGACAGGCAGAGATTGGTGTGTTTTGTGTACAAGCCTGTGACCCCAAGGACTACCAGCAACCGTCAAAAACTGGAGGACAGGTATGAAACAGATAGTTTTAAAGAGCATTCAGAGGGAGCCCAACACTGTCAGCACCTCAACTTTGTACTTACAATGTCCAGAACTGTAAGAGAATAAATTTCTGATATTTAAGCCACACAGTTTATAGTCATTTGTTATGGTGTCCTTAGGAAGCCAGTACAGTTACTAACCCCTCCATGCATAACAGAGGGTGCCACATATACACCCATTTTCTACTGTAAATTTTTACTTTAGCATAATAGTAGCTGGCTGTGTGTCTTAGTACCTTTCCCTGAGGGATGCAGGAAGTAATCTTTGCATTTACCCAGTTGGTATGACAAAATGCAAGATGTGTGCACATGCACAAAAGCGTCAAACCAGAATTTACACCCACATTATCCTCAGTTTTTGCTTATGTTTACCTGAGCATCACAGAGGGTCCAGCAGACCCACACCTCTCCAGGATTTGTTTAAAATTTTAAAAATGTTTTCCTTTAATTTTTCTGGTAGAAGTAGCCCAACTCAGTACAATGGCACATGAGAAACCAGATTTGCAAGTTTTGGAGAAGGTCAAAAATGAATCATCAGATTACTCATGCATGGATTATGAAGATAATCCATTATGGTAAAATACGTGCTTTCATAACAAGAGTGGTGTGGGTGTATGATGATGATGATGATAACTTGGACGTTGGCCATGGGAGCCAAACTTCTCTGATAGTGAAATGGAGCAAGAACTGATACATAGCGAATACAGATCTCTTTGGTTCAGATAATGAAGAAAACAGCAATGTGAGTACATATTTGTTTAGTTGAAATGTTGTGAACTAGCCATGCAGCCAAGTGGAAGGATTCAATGTTAGAACTAGGTCCAAAAATAAAGTGAGGGCCTTGGCAGGGGTGAAAGGTATTGGACAGAATGCCAGCACTGCCATTCAGTGTTGGCAATTGTAACGGATGAAATACTACAAGATGCTGTGAAATACACAAAGGCTGAAATGCAAGTAAAATGTTCTGTGTGCACCAATAGCCATATTAAAAAATGTGTTTATTATGACACTTCACTACCTGAACTGAAAGTACTCATCGGCCTGTTGTACTTAGCATGCATTTCTCATAGTGGTCCCTGGAATATAACACTAATGGAAAACCAGTGGGTCAAAACATGGCGTAAAATTGTATGCCCTTGTAGGTGTGATGACTTACACTTTCAGTTTAGACATTTGTCCTGGAACTCAGCCATCAGATTCTTATTCATATAGTAATAAACCAAATGATGTTGTGGACAGACTTGTTGCTGCCATCTCCCAAACTAATGGGAATATGACATTGGGCAGTTGGTTTACCAGCTTCCAATTGATATTACACTTGCTAACAGAGCAGAAGTTGACTAGCACAGGAACCGTACACAGAAACAAAGCAGAAATTCCAAATGAAATGTTGCAATTTCAAAACCATAGTATAGTACAATGTTTAGATTTTAAAAAGATTTACATTGACCTCATATATGGCAAAAAAAAACCCCAGCTGATACTGCTGATGTCAACATTACATCATAATGGAAAATTTTTTTTGGTATGGGCAGTCAAATGCAGGACCCTGTGCTTACCAGGCAGGCACTGTCCCACTGAACTATATCCCCAGCCCCAAGATGGAAGTATTAATAGGAAATCTCAACAGAATGGAACCTTGAGATGGAAACTTTCTACAACAAAACCAAAGGCAGAGTACATATTGAGTTATACAGCAACTATGATGTCACTTGAAACACAGAGCATTTGCCAGTGGTTGAGTTTTACTTCATCTTAAACATGTGGCATAAGTAGTTTGATAGTTTACAAAGAAAATAACCAGTGAAAAATACCTTGGAAAAATTTTCTTAGAAGATTGCAGCTGGAACTCATAAAAGATCATTTACAGCAGAGGAAAAACTAGGCAAAAAAAAAAAAAAATGGTGGACCACACTGGTGAGCTGACAAGTGCACAAGCAGGTGCAGCATACCAAAGACCTCATATGACAACGGGAAAACCAAAAAGATGTCAACTGTGCCCTACAAGAAAGGATGGAAAGCAAAACATGCTACCATGTGATACTTGTGTATGGAACATGCAGTTTTCACATGTGAAGACTGCCTAGGGTGTAATAATTGAAGCAAAGATGATTTTTGTTGTAGAGTTCTAGTGGTATTTTCACTGTAATTCACATAGGTTTTTACTTCTGAGAATCTCTTAGGTTTTGTAAGCAATTAAACAGCTGATGTACAAATGTTGATATCTATTTGAAGCACTCATTATACATTTGATATTTTATTTTGTTGCTATCTTATTTCCCTGGTAAGTGCACATTGTGCCACATAGTAGGAAGCTCCTAAGAAAATAGGAAGAGAGGTGACAAAAATGGCCTGCCACCTAGGAAAGGAAAGCCAACCACATGTGCTGTCAGTGTAAGTGAGACCGGTGCATGGAACGTGTAATTGTCATGTGTGAAGACTGCCTTGAGTGTTACAGTTGAAGCAAAGATTCTTTTGTTTGTGTTTACATTGCAGCTTACACAGGTTTTTATTTGGGTTGTTATTAGATTTTGTAAGTAAGCACACAACTGTTGTGAAAATATTGATGTCTGTTCTAAGCACTCATTACACATTTGATATTTTATTTTATTGACATCTTATTTTCTTATTATTTAGGTGTGATAATTGAAGTAAAGATTTTTTTGTAGAATGCTATTGGTGTTTTCATTGTAGTTCATATAGGATTTATTTCTGATGTTATCCTTTAGGCTTTGTAAACAATACACAGCTGATGTGAAAATGCTGTTTATTCTAAATGTGCAAGATGTATTCAAAATTTAATACTTTATTTTACTGATGTTTTATGTTCCTGTTAACTACACACTACATAATATAATAAGAACCTCCTGACAAAGCAGCAAGACCAGCCACATGTCAAATATGTCCTACAAAAAGGCTAGGAAAGCAAAATACACGTGCTGTCAGTGTACATGCTGTGTATGTATGAATGTGCTGTTGTGAAGACTGCCTTAGGTGTGATAATTGAAATAAATAATTGTTTTGTAGAATAATATTGATATTTTCATTGTAGTTCATATAAGGATTTATTTCTATTGTTCTTTTTAAAACTTTGTACACCAAAAATCAGTCAATATTGAAAATGTTGCTACTTTTTAAAAAACACTCAATAAATATTAATACTACTTTGTTTTTGTGATATTTTTCCTGTTAAGCACTCATTGTTTAATGTAATAAAACTCATAAAATTACTAATTCATCGATAGAAATATTCTAAAGCATAAACATGGGTGTGACACTCCCATGGTTATGCCCTGAAATGACAAAAATTACATTAGGCCCTGAGATATTACTCAGTCTTATGTATCTGAATTATAGATGTTTCATGAAGGGTCGGTTTTCCTAAGTTCATCTCCACATTTAAGGATAAAAAGTAACAACAGCAACAACAAATCAAGTTATTTTGAGGGCATAGTAAAAATCTGTTTATTAAGAGATGAGAGGATTAGCAAGTGTGGAATCACAGATTTTACTTTCTAGTGATAAATACTGAAGTGATTGTCTGAAATTCTCTTTCTGTTTTTAAAAACACTCCTGTCTCCTGCTGTCTTTATAGAAGAATAATTACAAAAACATGAATAAGTGCAGTATAGAGGGGGACAGTGGTATAGCAGTAGGTTGAAAAGATCAGACCAGTGGAGGTCCTTGTAGGCCTAAAAATTTGGATCGTATTCTTAAGTGTGAGAGCCACTGGAATTTTTTTTTTTTTTTTGCTTAAAAGAGTAACATTCGTACCTGATTTATATGATTTGAAGATCTCTCTGTTTTCTGATAGACAGTGGTTTATAGGTGAAAAGTAGAAGCAAATCAGAGTAACATCTTTTAAATAGTTTGAAATAAAAATGGTGATGCCTTCAAGTATTTCTGAAGGCAATGCTATAAAAGTTTATATAATGAAAATTTTTAGATAATGTAAACTTATAAATGTAGTACCATTT